ATCTTTTATAGGCCTGTCTCCTCTGGCCTACAGAATTTCCTCATTTCCACTTCATGGAAATTTTCTTTCTTGTCATGTGAGGTGGAAGGATTGTTTAGCAGTCCCTGCTCTGACACTGAAACCTGTCCCTGTGCAGCTTGTAGCTCCACAACAGACTTCCTTGAGCAGAGTGGCATGACATGTTCTGATCAGACAGTTTGTCACAAATTAAGAATCCAGATGCTCTCAGCAACTAAAAGTGTCAAATCCTGTTTCCACCTTTTTATTTTAATGGAACACTTGGATTTATTCTTTTTTTTTACAGAAACAAAGTTCCTTAGCCCATTCCTAAATGTATTTTCTCAAGTGTTAAAAAAAAAAATAAATATTTAACTGATCCAATTGATATGAAAGCTGTTTGGTTTTACTAGTTGGAGTCAGAGGCACAGAGTGTGTGCCCTTATCTCTGATACCTGGCTCTGACATCCAAAAAAGCACTGAATTTCATATAACACCATGGAGACAACTGTTAAAGTTAAATAGAAAAACTGGGAATGTGAGTGTGTAAGTCAGAGAGTTTTCTTAAATCACTAGGTGAGAAAGTTAAAGTTTAAGCTCTTTTAAAAAATAAAAAACAAGATGGAGGATTTAGGGTGTTGTCACTTCTTCCTTCTTCATCTTCTTCTTCTAGGGATTTTTGGGTAGTAATAGCACACAGGTGTTGGGTCATTGGGTCACTAAGAAAAATAATTTACTTGGCATTTGTTAATTGGGTAAATAGACATATAAAAGACCTTGAAGAAGTTCTTTGTTAGCCATTTTGCACCTTTCTATCTTAGTGTATATAGCTCCTTGTACTTTGTATATATGTAATATAGGTAAGAGAAGAATAAACAACCAAGTCTGAACAAGAGAAAACTGCCTCTCTCGTCAATCTCAGTCCAAGGGGGAAAAGAACCCAGCTACTAGTGTCTCATTCCAACATTTACTGTTAGGTTGTTGTTTGTCTTTTTACTCTACATTAGACCCAAATAAATTAATTTTAGTGATTTTTCATTTAAGCCACGAATACAAAAAAACAGTTGTTTCCACAATTCTACCCTTCCAGACAATGAGAAGAGTTTCCTTCTATAGCAGGAATTGACCACCAAATTTTCACACTCCAGTTAACTCTCACCAGAGTTAAATGAAAATTGATTTTTCTCTCACTCCACTGCCTTGCCATGCTACCTTTGTGGATTTGCTTGGCAGCATAAAGAAGCTGTTGAAATTTATTCACTATCAGTGACTTAGGAAATTGTTTTATGATACAACACTAGCAGTTCTCCAATTCAAGCCAGTTAGTTACCTTGGACTTTATATCTGCCAAACCAGACCACTCATAATTGCTCTTTGGTTGATATAAATTCAGATAACATTAAATCTGTTTCTCAAGCAGACCAGGCTCTCCTGATGTACTCTTAGAGACCAGAAGGTACCAGAAACTCCTTGGCTGGGAAAAACTTCCAAATTCTTTTCAGACAGATTCATGGGAAAACGGAAGTTTTTAACCAGTTTTTCCCATGTTACATCTACTATTCTAACCTATTATCTATGCCTAACAGAGGAGCAGATGAAGAAATGTTTACAACACATCTTTTTGAATTGTTCGCTGTCTCCCAGAGCTGCCTCCTTGCTGCTGCTGATCGCAATCAGAACTGACCTATGTGGCTAACTTCCCAGGGGCCAGGCAGTGGCCATCATGTCCAGCCTCACAAACACATTCCTAGAAACAACCATGTCCACATACCTGTCCTAGTGTCCCCAGTGTGAAAAGGCTTCCTGAAGAAGGCAGATGATGATTTCAACCTACAAAAGGAGAGACCCTTCATTTTCTCACAAAAAGAGAAAGTGGAGAAGAAGGAAGCTATAGCTGTTTTTACTCTATGCCCCTTTGCATCACCAACCCAATTTCAAGGAAACAAAAAATCATGGTTTTAAGCTAATAAAATCTGTAGTAGCTTCAACTCATACACCTGCCAGTGAATAAAGTGATTCTCGGCCCTGGTGAATAAAATCCCACTTATTCAAAAGGGAAATAGGATCTCTGGTTAAGATACTGGTACAGGTTTTAGGAGTTCAAGCCACCTAACCATCCCATCTGCACTTTACTGATCACCTCAGCCCATGCTCTTGAATCCAAACTGCTTTCAATATGAAATTCACTCTCAGGTACCAGTTTTGAGGAAAACATTCAGAAAAAAAAAAATAAAAGGTTTAGCCTGGTCTACTTATGCATGAATGCCCATGGTCATTCTTCCTGAACATTTAGGTGCCCCTAAGTGCCCCAGGCTTTATGTGGGATGCAGGCGGCCAACCTATCCATATGCAAAGCACACAGCGTGGTGAGTAAGTGAGGATATGTTCTGTATTTTATCTTGCTCTCCAGGCATTTCTGAGGACAAAAGGAAGTCTGCAAGCCTAGTCTTTAGCTACTCTATGGATAAAGTTGGCAGATGGGAGGGAAATATCCCATGTACTGCCAGCTGAGTACAATTCTGGTTTAGGACTCACAATCCTAGACACAGATTAACCTGTTCCTGAGTAAGTATTTTGTCAGCCATAGGAACTTCTGTAATGCAAATAGTAACAAAACACTGTCTCTCAGGAATATGAGAACAGCCAGTTTTAAAGTCTTTAAAAGATTTTTTTTCAGCTGAATCAACCACACACATCATCCTTTTCTGTTTTTCAAGGAAGCAACGCACAAATAACTAAGGGTATTCCAAAGCATTTAAAATAAGTAAAGAATATTTCCTTCCCTAAGTTGAAAGCAGGTTTTTAGAATATCCTGAAATACTGAGGAATTTAAGACCTCTTCCTTTGCAAATGTGATTCACATGAACATTTGGACTGTGCTTTGCTCCAGCCTCTCTCAATCATTATCATTTTGTTCAGAGTCAACAACAGGAAAGGCCCACCTTTTCTCCAGGGGAGTGATTTATAAAAGTAAAAAAGAGTAAAAGTTTTTGTTCTTTTTAATTGTTTTCTTCATGCTAAATTACATGAGCCTGCAAAGAAGATAGAAATCATTAAAACTCTTGGATGGAGAAGAGGCATTAGATTTAATCCCTTCTCTTATCAAATTTCTGCACTGTATATTTCCTAAGTGATTTGGTGTCAGGTGGTAAGCTTTACTTGTCAGGTTGAGTCTCATCATCAGGAAATTTATTGTGGAAGCTTCATTTTCCAATCCTTAACTTAATCTTATTACTCTTTAATTTAATCCTATTACAACCAGGATTGTTACTGCTAGCCATGTCCACATATCAGCACTGAGACAAAGAGTTACTTGAGAATGTGTAAACTCAAATAATTTTATTACAACTCTCAGAGCAGCACAGTTTCTAGATTGGGTCTGTTCCAGGGGGTGATTCATCTCATGCATGGAGAGGTTGGCACACTAATGCTGGTTTACCTATGCCTGTTAATTTGCGTTTATCAATTAGGACTGTTTAAGTAATTTTTCTGAGCCTACAGGAGGGACCAGACCTGGCACAGAACATCTACAGTCATAACAAAATAAAGCAAAATTGCTTCTTTGCACTCCTTTTGAACATTTCAGAAATTCCCCATGGGCTTGCTTTAGCTCTGAAGTATGATCTTGGGTTAATAGTTTTGATTAAGGCAAAGGAAGAAAAGGAAAGAGAAATCAGAACAGAAATAACATCTCAGATCAAAACAATCCTTTTCACAGCTTTATTTCACTGCTCCGTATAATTCCCAGTTGCTACTGAAACAGAAGTTGGCTGCTTTTTCACAGCAAAGCTTAAACACATATATTGTGTATATAGCCAGATAAATATATATTACACACAGGCTATTAAACCTGCGAATCCAAGCATATGCAAGTACCATAATGCCAGATTTAAGGTTACCCTGCTCACGCTGTTCATGTGTTATGAGTCAGCTCCGAACAACAAGATCACATGGTATTTTCCTAAAGACCTGTGATCATTCAGTGCTTAGGTCTGTATCTCTATGGTTCACAGAAGTGTGGGTTAACCACTCCATTTGCAGAACTGCAATGAACTGGTAGATTCTTCTAAATTCCTTGTTACAAAATCTGAAGGAGAAAGCAAAGGATTTGACCCAAGTAAATGCCCTTCCAAAATTCCTATGTTGTTTTAATATGTGGGAGTACCAGAGCTGCCTTCTCAGAAAGATCTAAACCATTCTGCCTTACGTTTTCAAATTCAGCCATGAACAGATTTTCCAACTCAGAATACTTCAGCCCAAATGATTAAACTGTAAGTAAGGAAAAAGGTATTATGCCATGAAGTGACTAGACTCTGGCACATGACAGAGAATGCCTCTGTGCTACTCTCATCTTTGCCACAGAACAACTACAGACCTCTGGGCAGAGTTGTGCCCTTGTTTCTTCAGTTGTTCTCTCTGTGAATGGTACAAGCAGGCAGAGTTTCCATTCCACTCCTGACAAAAGACCTCATCTATTTCACAGAGCCATGCTGAAAATTCTGGTTTTATGCAAAGGAGGCTGAACTTCACCTCAAGCCTGCCCCAAATCAGTTTTCTCTTGTCTTCTCAGTCTTTCTCATCCCCTTATACAATCTTTTTCACTTTTGATCTTGAGCATCACATTTCCTTTGTACACTAGAACTGATGACCTACAAAACATTTATTCAGAAGCAATCCTCTTGGCACATCAAACCTGAGAGGTTTATCATTAAAACACAAAATTATTTCTGTTGAAAGAGACCTTTAAAGATCACCTAGTCCAAATCCTCTCCCATTGGCAGGAGCACCTTTCATTAGACCAGGTTGCTCAAAGCCCCATCCAGCCTCAAATCCATTATTTCCAATGATGAACACCTTGAACATCTTACATAAGTCTTAATTAGATTTGTCTATTGGGATAGGAGTGATTTCAGTTTTGCACATTACCTGTAGATACTGACAATAATTTCATTTTGGGGAAAAGAGGTATCTCAAGAGAGTCTGAAACTCTGATGAGCTCTGACCTTGACCTGGTGGCTGAGAGGCCATTTCTTCATGGCTGGATGTGTTCCTCATGTCCTTGGCCATACATAGGTGGTGTTGACAGGAATTTGTTGTGCAGCTCTCTCAGAATGACTTCTTCATTTATCCTGTAAATGGAGACAGTAGTTACTAGGTGCTTCATAGCTTCAAGCTCTTCCACAACTCCAAAACATGTAATATTTTTCATTTTAGAAAGAGTATAGATTGCAAACCAGGAAGGGCAGATGACTGTACATTTGAATTTTTAATACCCAAACTTCCATTTGGCCTGGACAGGGAAGCTGAAGTAGCCAAAACCTGATTACTAAAAAGACTTATAACTTGCTATAAATCTTATCCTTTGTTGGGCAAACCTATTGCCCTTAATGTGAAAAACAGCGTAACAACTTCATCAGGAAAATTAATTCCATATTCTGCATATCTGTTACCTAAAGTCAGTAAAACTATTAAAAAGGAACATTATAGCCTTAAACTGGATTGATTGCTGAGGAATCAGCATATGGTACCAACAGAGGGGACAAATCTCTTGTTGGGGAAAACAATCAGAACTTGAATGACATCAGCAGAGATTTGATTTCAACTGAATATCAACTAGCATAGAGCGTTTTGGAGGTTGCTGACAAATGAGTCTGATATTTTTGCAGTAAAACCACTCCTAAATTACAGCCATGCTAATGGGAACTGAATTTACCTAAATGTGTATGAGTGCATGTGTGTATGTGTATGGTAAACTCAGAAACTCTGTCATAGCTGAGAAACTTTCTCAGCTATCTACTGAGCAAAGTGTCTCCTGGGGATTGAAGGTCAGGCATGGCTCTCCTACTCTGGCAGTTTAGACACTTCCTGGGTGAGATGGCAGAGCTCCTCAGTGTAAACTGCAGTACCTGGAACAGGGGAGAAAAATGACCTCATCTAACTCCATTATGCAACGGCCCATATGACTCTGCAGTCATTTCTGATGGTCTGTGGCATTTAGCAGTTGGCTGTAGTGTGTCTAACCATTACAGAATTGCTGAGAAGACAAATGTCCTTACAGGCAAATGTAGCTAACAGCACGATGGGTTGCAGGGCAGATGGATGAAATAAGCATCTAGAAATGAGCAGCTGCTACAGTGACATATCTCCCTTGACACAACCTCACCAAGCCAGGATGACGGTACCCTCTGCGTGTGAAGGAGCTCTAAGTGGAGATGTTGCCATGTCTCCACTTGTCTTGAAGCAAACAGTGTACCTTTCTGAAGCTCATCTGTTAAATTTTTTAAGATCCCAGCTGGATTTACATTAACCTGCAAAGAAATATATTTGCTCTGTTTCCTGGCTCAGAAACACTTGATCACTTTGCGAAAAACTCTTAGTTCTTGTATAACCTGTTCAAGCAAGAAGATCTGTGGAAACAATGGTCTGCAAGCTGTTCCCATGATACAGAGCACTGGGGTTGGGTGGGTGCTGTTCATGCCTACATTGCAATGCATCAACATCTGTGTGGTCTCAAAACATTAAAACCCCACTGTGCAATCTAAGGCAAAGCATTTTGGACTCCATCAGAATTTCTGAGTAACATCAGGAGATGTGAAAAACTGTTTCCCTGGGAGCTGTCAGCCATTTCCATAATGACTTGTAAATAAAATCACAGTGACTTTTATGAACTTGCTTATGAAGTTGTGCCAGCTTCTCCATTACAACTGTGTCCTTCAGGATCTTTGCTAGACAAGTGTACGGGGCCTGTCTGGGATGGAGTTACGTTTTTTTCCTAACAGCCTGTGTGGAGCTATGCTTTGAAGCTGTGGCTGAAATAGTGTTGGTAACACAACAGTGTTTTGGTTGTTTCTGCACAGAGCTTACAAAGCATCTGTGGTTTTCTCTCTTTCCTCCTCTGCCCACCTCACCCAGCAAGTTGGCTGGGGGTTGGCAAAGGGTTGAAAGGGACAGTTGATTCTAGCTGACAGAAGGGATATTCCATACCATATAACATCATGCTTAGCAGAAAAAGCTCAGGGGGAGGAAGAACGGAGCATGTTAAGAAGAAATTCTTCACTGTGAGAGTGGTAAGGCACTGGAACAGGTTGCCTCGTCCCTGGCAGAGCTCAAGCCCAGGTTCAATGGGGCTCTGAGCAACCTCGTCTAGTGGAAGGTGTCTGCCCATGGCAGAGGGTTGGAACTAGATGGTCTTTAAGGTCCCTCCCAACCCAAGCCAGTCTGTGGCTCTGTGATTCTGTGAAGCTATGTTTGTAGTTTCAGCATTTGTCTTCTCGACTAAAGATGAGGTCCTCCTTATCAAAGAGGAGTAGCAAAACATTTTCCCGCCAATGGGAAGTAGTAATAAAGTAATTTTTTTCCTCTGCTTTGCCTGTGCACACAGCTTTTGCTCTCCCCATTAAACTATCACTAGATCTAACCACAAATCTCCTCACCTTCTTTCTTCTTTCTGTTTTGTCCCCATCCCATGAGGGAGGGGAGTCAGCAAGCAGCTGGGTAGGTGTCTGTTAGCCAGGGTCAACCCACAACAGTCTGTTCCAAGCACAGCATGGGGACTGAGAGAAGGGGTTCAATCTGAGCATTCTGTCAGCAGTTAAGAGTTGTTAAGTGGCAGGTCGTGTGCTGGTCGTGCAGCTTGTGTTCTTTACTGTATATTACATTCTGAGGCTGTTTCTGCTGTTTGCTGTGGTGCTTACTGCTTTACTTCACTGTGCCTGGACACCTTTTGAAAAAGGCAATGGCTGTGTGCCAGGGCTGGCGTGTGGCCCTAGCACTGATGCTCCTCTTGGGCTGTGTGAGCTCCCTTGTGAGAAGCATTAGCAATTACACCTCCCTCTGCTCCTCTGGGACAGATCCTCTGCTTCTCTGGGATGGATGTGTCCAGCACTTCTACAGGGGCTCCCAAGTTCCCTGTATGTCATCACACATGCTGTTTGATCATGTTCTCTGTATGTCATCACACATGCTGTTTGATCATGTTCTCTAGCATTGTTGGATTGCTGTTGTGCTTGTGGAACCTGGCTTGGTCCTGGCACAAGAGCAAACAACTTGTCGGTGGGGTGACAAAGAAATGTGCACCAAGGTGTCCAGTCAGTGCTGGCAGGGTTTGTGGGAAGATTTGGGAAGGTGCCTAGAGCAGTTCTCACCTTTGGTAGCCTGAGATTTTACGCTTCAACAGGCACATAAACCTGTTGAGCTGGCTCACCACTTGAAGGAAGGTGCCTTGCCTAACCCAATGAGACCCAACTTTTGGCAATGTTTTCAGGCTTGGCCTGTGCCTACTGAGCCTCAGCCCAGCACCATCAGAGGAGGCAGGATGAGGGAGTGACAAAGTCACTAGGGAGGTGGAAATCACTCGGGCCATAAACCTCAAGTTTTAAAGGAGCTGCAAGATCTGTGGAAAAATTACAGCCACAATCCAGGTGAGCAGATTGCTGCCTAGTTGCTCCAATGTCAGGATACTGGGGTCTGCTGTCAGGAGTTAGCCAGCAAGCCAGGCAGCTGGGGTGCCTAAGTAGTGACACCGGGACTGACAAAGGGAACCCTCTGGACATAATTCCTGTTGACGATGAAGGACAGTTACTCCCTCAAGGATGACTTGGTACAATGCCTGGGTCAGTGAACCACCACTGTAAAAGGCATCCAATGTTCGAGGGAAGTAGGGGTGGTGGGGCTGTACCCAGTCCATGTGCAGAAGGTGTACATAACTCATCAATGTTGTATGCCAACACCATGGGGCTGATGCACTGGACAGACTCCAAACCACTAACTGCAGAGTGACTGTTCCAATGGCTCCCGGGACTCAAAGAGAACTTCACCTCCTCCCCCTGACCAAAGGTCTAGGTCTCGGCTGCCAGAGATGTCCTACAGAGTTGTCTCTGTCCTGTCAGAGGGAAAGGGGGATCCAGGGCATGCCGTGCCAGCCTGTGGTTCCTCCTACACAATCAGGACAATGAAGAAGGGGAACAACGTGCCCACCTCAAATCTAGAAGCCCACATGCATGGACTGCAAGGAAAACCACTGCTACAAAGTATCCATCCAAGAATGCTGGTTTGATGGCCTAGCATGCGATCCACAGACGTAGAAGGCTTTGTTGGACACTGCTGTACAGTCCTAAAATCATCAGATTACAAGTGAGGAGAATCCACCTGGATTTCTGGAGTGACCTAGACTGGGAATGTCAGGGTCAATTATCTGTAGCTTAGTGAGCTCAAGAAACATCACGACATCTAGGGAAAGACACAATATGTGGGTGGGCTAATGCTTGAGGGGTGCACTTGACCACCAAAGTGTCACACAGGTGGTAGATGGCAGTTCTGTGAAGGGCCAGGACAGGGTAATTCAGAAAGATGGGCAAGAGGAGCATCAGGCAATAAGCACCAAAGTCTTTTTTCTCTAACAAATTTTCACACTAGAATTTTATTGACTTGGTCTGCATGCAGAATCTACATACTGAGATTTCACAATGGTGAGATGCTGATGCAGGGTTTGGGCTTCACAGTACCACAGGATTATTACAAAGAACAAGCAGTAGCCTCTGCTGACACAAGTCAGCTTGGTTCCATCGACTGCAGCCACCTCACTGACTTAGACAAGACTTAATCAAATATATCTGTGATAACGCTTCTATTATTCCTTCCCACTGGGGTCTCAGTGCTATTCAAGGCACTGACAAGGATGAAAATCAACATCATATCAACCACAGCTTCAAAATCTGTCTGTCCACAGCCCATACTCCATCTAAACCTAATTTGATGAGATTTATCTGAGCCTAATGTAAATAAATTAGTGATGCAGAGCACTGACCTATCCTACCCCAGGCTCCCATGCCCCACCCTGCATGTTTATTTGGAAGGTAATCTAATTTGCTGCAAATGTGCTTATCTAGATGAAAAACAAATTTTGATAGGTACCTTAGGAGGAAGAAAGCTTTCCAGGATGCATGCCTCAGTGAATTCTTTTGTATGAGGAATACAGAATCTATTGTACTGTTGTTGTTGATCTGCACTGGAATTATTCACCTGCTCCCCACTCTTTGTCTCCATGTGTTTGTGAAGCACAGTTAAGCTCCTAAGCTCCAGTCAGTTCAAAACTAGGTAGAAGCTGCTAGGTAACAACCTCCTGCCTGCAAGGTAGCTTAGGCAAATGACAGAGAAATCCTGAGAGATGTTTGCTAGCATGATGTTGAAGCACAAAGAGCCCACTGAGTAGCCACGAGTGGCATAGCCCAGCTTTGTAATGCAGAGGAGTCAGAGCACAACACATTGACCTGAGTAAGAGACACTGTGGAGGTCTCATGTTCCTAAATATATACAATCCCAACCAGTGCTGAAAAAATTAGAGGACAAAATTATGATTAATAGCAACTATCTTCTAGATGCAAGCTGGCTTCTGTCCCACTCCAGGCTGTTCAGTCTTGCTCACCTTTGCCTCCCAAGCTGTATCTTGCACTTTGGCTTTGTCTCACCAGTGTGGTAAGAGAAGGAACAGAGCTGGGAGGGAGGTGTGATGCTGGATGCTGAGGAAGGGATGATAGATGGATGGTCCCAACACCAGGCAGAGGATGCACCTTGTTATTTTCCCTCCTTCCAACCATCTCACTGGTTTCAACGTTTTTCTCTTGGCAGTCCACATTCACTCACCTTCCCTATTTTCATCTGCTTCAGAGAAGATCCTTCTACCCTAGAGAATCCTTGCAGAGTATGGCAGCATGAAAGTAATCCCTGCTGCAGACCTTCACCCAGACAAATGGACTGATAATATAGAGATGTGTGAGTTCTGTGAGTGCAAAAGCTGTAGAATAGCCAGCTGAGAGCATATGGCTACACATATCATTGTGGAGGACAGCATAGAGGCTGTCCTCCACGGAACGTGTACAGATGAGAATAAGAGCAGAAGGGGGAATTAATCAGGACAGTCCCGTCGCCAATCCATCCGGCTGTAGGCTGCTGCCCTCCTATGGCAAGCTGGGACAGCAGTCCTGATGCCCGAGAAGCTCTCTGAATTGCTGCAACGTAACGAGCTCAGCTGCTGGTTCCAGCTGACAGAAATCACAGCTTCCAAACACCCAGATTGCCATCTCGCTGTTTGTCTGAAGTAGAAAATCAGCACCCTGGGGCACTCAGCCTCTTTGCGCCGCCAGGGAAGTTTTTTTGGATGGAAAGAACTGTGTGCTGCTCAAGGAGCACATTTGCCATCCTGAGCCTGCGTGTGACACTGTTAGCGTGGAACAAAAACATCCCTGCAGAGAGGGCGCCGATCTGCGGCTCTTCTCCCTTAGTGACAGCTCTTTGTTGCTATTGTTGGGGTTTGTTTCTAATGTCTGAATCTCGGCAACACATAAGCTGTTGATTCGTGGGCCCATGAGAACCTCATGAAGTTCAACAAGTGCAAGGGGCTACATCTGGTAGGGCAATCCCATATATGAGCACAGACTAGAAGAGGAACTTACTGAGAGCAGCTCTGAGGAGAAAGACTTGGGGGCTCTCATTTCTGAAAAACCAAACACAACCTGGCAGTGCTGTGTTCGTGCCCAGAGACCCAAATGTGTCCTGAGCTACAGCAAAAGCAGCGTGAGTAGCAGGGCGAGGGAAGGGATTCTGCCGTTCTGCTCTGCCCTTGTGAGACCTCACCTGCAGTGCTGTGTCCAGCTCTGGGGAACTCAGCACAAGAAGGATGTGCTCCTGTTAGAGCAAGTCCAGGGGAGGCCGCAAAGATGATCAAAGGACTGGAGCACTTCTACAAAGGCTGAGGGAGTCGGGCACGTTCAGCCAGGAAGAAGCTTAAAGGGAAACCCCACTGCGGTCTTCCAGCACCTTAGGGGGGCTTATGAAAAGAGAGAGACTTTTTAAACGAGCCAATAGTGACAGGACACGAGGCAAGGGTTTTGAACTGGAAGAGGGCAGGTTTAGATTAGATATTAGGAAGAACTTCTTTACCATGATGGGGGCCAGTCATCGGCACAGGCTGCCCAGAGAAGGTATCTCTGAGGGGTTAGATGCAAACATCGTATCCCTTTACTGCCCAGTTACTTTCCTGGTGAACTAATAAATTCATTCATCATGAAAATTAGACTTGCATGTATTTCTAAAATAAAATTATTTTTTAGAAAAATGTACCTTTATGTTCACACAAGCCACTGAAAATGAGAGATTTGGATTAGATATAAGAAATTCTTTAAGGGTGGTGAGGCATTGGCACAGGTTGCCCAGAGAACCTGTGAATGCCCCATCCCTGGAGTGCCAAGGCCAGCCTAGATGGGATTTTGAGCAACCTGATGAAGTGAAAGGGTCCCTGCCCACACGTAAAGACTTACAGACCACAGCTGCACGTCTCAAACAGTGTGAAGGCCACAGAAGAACTTTGACATGAGATAAGTACAGAAAGGGGCTTTGAACAAGCTGGTCTAGCGGAAGGTGTCTCTGCCCATGTCAGGGGTTTGGAACTACTTGATATTCAAGGAGGTTTCCCCGCGCGTCACAGAGCGCAGCAGCTCCCATCGTTCGGGCGGACATGGCGGCCAGAGCACTGGGCTCCTCCCATCCGCACGGGGGCGCTGTGCCGCAGCCTCTGGCCGAGCCCTGCTGGGCGGTAGCAGACTACAGTACCCAGTATGCCCCGCGGGGCGGCCGGAAGCGGCAGTGAGCGGGCGGAAGCGGAGGGCTGGGGCAGTATGAGGGGCGCCGGGAGCAGCGCTGCTATCCGCGCCTGGGCCGGCCCGCTCCTGCTCCCGATCCCGGCCCGGCTGCCCCCGGCTCCTCGCAGAGGTGAGAGGCGCCGCAGCGCCGTGCTCGGCCCTCCGGCCGGCTGGCAGTCCCCGCGCGCGGACGGGCGGGCGGCTGCCGGGGTCGGGTGAGCCCTGGCCGGGTCTGTGAGCGGCGCTGGGGCTGGCCGGACTCGGTGTGAGGGCGCGGCCGCGGGGCCCGTCCCTGAGGCGCTGTGTGAGGGAGCGCTGAGGGCCTTCCCTCGGGGCTGGAACAAGGGGTGAGTTCCACGGGCGGGAGCAGCCGGGTGAGCGGCGTATGGGGCTGTCAGGTGGTGTTCGGGACGGGAGGAGTTACCAGGGGGTGCAGAAGGGCGTCACCAAAAGGTATCTCAGGTAGGGGTTTGTGGAGTGGTTTTCTCAGCTCCGGGCTGGGAGAGGAGTATCCTGTCGAGACTGCAGGAGTGGAGCAGTGGGGCCAAGAGCAGCGTGGCGAGCAACCACACCTGTAATATCACCTTTCTTAGGACAGCGTCTATGCAATGCAGCTGTTCAACCCAGTGAAAAAATCCACCAATGCGTTTAGAAGACAAGAGCTGTGCGTTTAAATGCTGGAACAGCTCCGTGAAAATGATGCTTTGAGTTGGTTTTAATTATCTGTGTGTAGCAGTTGGTGCATCTTAACTCTACTGTAGCTGGTTAAGTTCTAGCCAGATCTTTATAGTATTTGTAAGATAGCACATAACTTGATTTATCTACTAGTGGCACAATATTCCCTTTTTTTTAAAATGATATAAAGCTTTTGAGTAAAGATCTGGATAAGACACAGAACAATCTGGTTAAGGCAAAGAGAGAGCCAGCAGTGCATATAGTTTCAAATAAACAGATTAAGAAGTAACAGGGCTGCTTAGATAACAAATAATTAATCAGAACAGAATCTGTAATATGCAGAACTGCACAAACACAAGGTGAAGAGAAACATATGCTTGAAGTAAAAGTAGGAGAAGCAGTGAAACCTGCTTGTGGGAAGGCACATCATAAATAGAGTGGATCTTTAGCTAATACCTGAGGTTAGCTAATCCCTCTTTAGAGATTAGGTGTACCTAATCACTGAGGTATTAGAAACAAACATCGTATCCCTTTACTGCCCAGTTACTTTCCTGGTGAACCAATAAATTCATTCATCATGAAAATTAGACTTGCATTTTTTTTTTTTTTTAAATGTACCTTTATGTTCACACAAGCCACTGAAAATGAGAGATTTGGATTAGACATAAGGAAGAAATTCTTTACTGTGAGGGTGGTGAGGCACTGGTACAGGTTTCCCAGAGAAGCTGTAGATTCCCCATCCCTGGAAGTGTTCAAGGCCAGACTGGAAGGGGCTCTGAGCAGCCTGGTCTGGTGGAAGGTGTCCCTGCCCATGGCAGGGTGTTGGAGCTAGTTGATCTTTAAGGTCCCTTCCAAACCAGACCATTCTGTGATAAAATAAAAAGCTGTTGGAATTAAGGCTCAGCAACTTAAATAAAATAGCAATGAAGGCTTAGTTGCATAAAGTCATTCTGTGTTTTACAAGTACGAAAATTATTTAAATTATTAAATTATTTCCCGAGTATTTATAAAGCAATTGGCTGTGGGGGTTTATTTGTGGTGTGTCAGGATGCTTGTCTGTGGCACAATTACATGAATGCATTTCAGACAGACCTGTAAGTCCTCTTTAGTGTAAATTTCCTGTGGAAGAGGGATTGATGGTTTCTGGTGTGTGCTGTAACCCAGCTTTTTGTTGCAATATCCATGCAGCTTTTATGTGATGGAAGAAATTAAAATAAATGTATTGCATGATAAGCCAATCAAGGTAAGATTAAGGCATGTTTCATTATTTCCAGGTTTTGCTGCCACGTTTGTGAGGAAGTCATACGATGTCAGAAGAGTTGATATCACTCCCCTGGAGCAGAGGAAGGTGACTTTTGATACCCATGCTTTAGTGCAGGATCTGGAAGCCCATGGTAAGTGATATGAGATAAATAATTTGAAGGAAAACTTCTAATATTAAGTATTGTAACTTTGAGTGCTGTCAGTTTCTCCAGAGTACCAGTATGGTGGTGTAAAATGTTTTGGCAGCCTCTTGAGGAGGCTGGTGAAGGAGACATTAGGTTTACCTTATCTGTAGCTGTAGGCAGGTTTATGTGTATCTTCCAGATGAGGAACATAACACAGGTAACAAATGTGAAATAACAGCAACAGTTGAAGACTTTCATAGCAAAAATGAAGCTCTTAAAGAAATTCCTTCTACTAGCCTACTAAGAGGAACTGAAGGGTTTTTTCCTAGTAAGAAATATTTTCAGCAGCATGGTGCTGTGATACATTCTCAATGCCCACACTTCTGTTGTGGGTGAGACTGGCTGAAGTCAGTTAAAGGGTCCATCCAGCCCTGAGTTCTGTCTCCTGGCAGCAGCTGAGTCAGAGCCTGCAGAGTGTTATAACACAACAGGTGTATGTCACACATCCCCTTGTGCTTTCCAAGTTTCCAGTTTCTGTCACCTTGGAGGTATTTTCAGTTGAGAGTTTTAGTAACATTCAATGGAAATCTTTTCACAAGTTTATGCAGTCCCTGAGCCACTATAAATTGATTACTATCCAAAATACCCTTTCTTATGGAACTTCAGACATCCACATGCTTTGTTTATGCAGAATCTGGCATCTGTGAGGTGAATTTGATGCCCATTTAGCTCATCTGTGGGAAGAAGGAATGAACATTTAATCTTTCATGTCATTCATGATTATGCAAACTTCTGTCATATTGCTCCATCATTTTCCAAACAGAAGTATCCTAGCTTGTTTCATTTTTCCTGAAGCAGTAGATTTTCCGTATTTTTGATTATTCATGATGCCCGTCTGTTAATATTTTGTGCTTCCATCACATACCATTTCATGTTTCCAGGAAACAGTGCTGGCATTACTTGACAACTGAATGTCCTGTGGATTTGCAGAGTAAAGTAATGTTGTGTCTGTTTTGTTCTCTGTTCTTTCTCCTAGTCATTCAAAGGGTTTGGTTTGCTTGATTGATCCCTTCTGAGCTTTGAGCTGATGTCTTTATCAGGACTAGCAACTATCTTTTAAAATCCCAAGTGACAAAAGAAACTTTGTACAGTCAGAGGTTAGGATTGTTTCCACTATTTGAGTCTAATAAAAATAATAATATGTGTTAGCAGTTAAAAGATTTACAGTAGTCTCCTATGTTTATTCTTTTCATGCTTGTCAGACTTGACAGCCTGTACTTCCCTACATCTCTCTAGAACTGTTTTTAAAAACTGGCATTGTTATTTTCCAGTCCATGGGTAACCATGGGAGGCTGTGAAATGTTACTCATCCCAGGGACTGATTCAGCTATTTCTTATTTGAGTTCCTTTAGAGCTTGTGAGGAGAAGTCTGTTTGGTGCTGGTTGTTTTTCAGTTTAATTTGTTCTGAAACTTCTACAAATACTTCGGTACCACAGTGACAGGTCTTTATAGGTAAAACCACAAAAGTAAGGGAGCCATTTTTGTTTTTCCCAAGCTTTAAGCAGTTTTCAGGCTCCCATCTCTTGCTTATATAAATTTTTCCTCATTTTCTAAACTTTTGCAAAACACAGTCATTTCTTGCTGTGAAGGAAGAGCAACATAAGGAACTGGCAAGAGCTTAAGTCACCCTGAAAATTCAGAGAAACTGAAGCAATACTATCACACTTTGTAGTGGAAAGAAGCTGTCATAAAGCACATGTAGCTTTTTTAGACATGTAAACCAGTGGTGCACCTGGACAGTACTAGTATTCTAGAAGGGAGAAGTGTCATAGTTCTCTAAACAATGTGCCTTGAAAGCATTTTTCAATGTTAATTTAGCCCACTTTATAAAATGGGATAGTTGAAACACAACGTATCAGTCAGATTGCTGGAAATAAATCTCTAGGGCAAAAGCTTTCAGCACTTGACTAGATCTGGCTAAAATGTGAGCCATTTTTTTCCCCATTATTCATCACACATCATCTTTAACACTTCAAATTTACACCAAGCTACAGACAAAGTGTACTTGTTTATCATCAGAAGGCAAAAATCCCAGTTTGAGTTCATTCTGCAGGCAATGAATGCAGCAGTTTAAAAATCAGTTTTGTATATGTTCCTATCTGTGCAGGACAGTTCCAATATATGCAGAATTATTTGTTATTATTCTATAGATTGCATGCTTTGTAGCTCAAGGTAAGTTTGGTTTTACAGAATTTGTGAAAGTTCATTATGAAGTAAAGTTTTGCTAAATTATTTTCATAATGCATGAATGGCTGAATCTTGTGTGAAGAAATTTGGTCTCTCTAACAGCTGCATGTCTGGACTTTCAGTATATTAAAAGGTACTGTGCCTCAGATTTTTGCAGCATTAAGTTTGTTTTTTCTAGCTGAAGTTGCAGTGATTGGCTCCTGGCTGTCAGTTTCCAGTCATTGTGTGAATTCCCATGTGCCACTGTGGTTAGGTGCAGCACTTGAGCATCTCCTGCTCCTCATCCAGATTTTTAATATCACCTTAACTTGTCATCCTTCAATTGTCCCCTAGGCTTTGGGAAGGAGCAGGCACAGACCATCGTGTCGGCGTTGATAACCCTGTCCAATGTCAGCTTAGACACCGTCTATAAGGACATGGTTACACAGGCCCAGCAGGTAAAAACTCATCTGTGCTGTGCAGCTGTAAAGGCTCGTGTTTGCATCGTTAAAACACAAGTGAGCAGCTCTCTCTAGTACTTACAAACACCTCACTTTGCCAGGTATTGCTAAGTTTCACTTGGGATTTTAACAGATAGTTACAGGCCCTGACCAGCTTCCACTGGAATCTAACTTTTACAACTAACTTTTTACAATTCCTGCAAAAACTTTGGTTGCATTTACACTGAGGAGCTCACATGCCTCATGCCATCTTAAAATATTTATTATCAATACTGTCTACACTATAAAAACCATTGTTTCTGCCTAATACAATTCCATGCAAATTCTATTTGGGATGCTGACTTCCTTTACATATAATAGGATTTCTGAAAAGAAATATTTACATTTTGATGAAAGACCACCACAGAGACTGAAGTTCTTGTCTTCTTCTGAGATTTAAAAGAAAAAAAAAAAAGAAGTCAGACAACTTTTATTACAAGTAAATGCCAGTAAAATAAAAATATTTTTGAAGAAAGGCAGCAGTTCAAATAAAAAAATGAAAGTTTAATTACATTAAGTAACGGAAGAAGAATGGTACATATTTCCAGCTTGCACAGCCTTCTGGAGCAATGATCAAAACCATCACTGTGCATCAGAAAATCCCACAGCAATGTGTCATTTTCCATGCTAAATAGTAGGGTAACTTTCATATGCTGGGTGAAGGAGTATTGCTTTCAGCATTTTAAAATACTGAGTTTCTTCCTTTGTGTTTTTTCCTGTGTTTATATATAGTGGCTGAATTCTGAACTTGTTAGTTCAAACCCCAGGAAGGCTTTCCTCAGTGCTTTTTAGCAGTGTTTTACTTCTGTCCATCAGACTTAGGAAGGCAAGAAATTAAAATGCTTAGTAAGAGCTGCATTCAGATCAACAATTAATGCTTCTGAGGCTACTGAATGTTCATTGAAAGTGGAGGAGAGTGCAGGACTGACCTGTAGTTTCAGGTCTATTTCATTTCATCGCTACTTGGACTAAGTAGCCTTTTTGCCTAAGTTCAGAGTTGGTGTATTAGAGCAACAGAAAAGCACAAACCTCTTGAATCTTTCAAACAAATTACTGGTATGAAATTGTCTGTTTCTGTCACATTCTTGTTAGAGAGACTCCCCACTTTTGTGGTTTGCAGTAGCTAATTTCATCATTTCAGACCTAAACATTTTTTCTTTACTTGCCAGAAAGAGTGCACCTTAATCAGTGGCATGCTTTATTTTTCAAAGGAAATAACTTTACAGCAGATAATGGCACATTTGGACTCCATTCGGAAAGATATGGTCATCCTGGAGAAAAGTGAATTTGCAAACTTGAGAGCAGAGAACGAGGTACTAATACATACTTTCATTAAACAGCTTGATTGCAGTATTTGTTGTGTTTTACCTGATGTCCAGTTTTGTGTAATAGAATATAAATGTAGAAGTAATTCCAGATATTCCTTTTATTGGAATTGAAGAGTCTGTATGTTACAACTTCAGAGACCACATTAAAATATATTTCACATGCTACGATCTGCTCAGATCTTCTGTAGAGGATTCTAAGACGTGTACTTTTTTTTCATCTTCTGTAATTTTATTTAAGGGTAACTGCTAGTTTCTGGGCATTAACAATATAGCACAGGGGGAGGAGTCAGCCATTCCTTTGCAGCAATTTAATTAATTTGGTGATTGAGACATGTTTTGCTTATATTTTATGGTATTTTGATATCTGTCTTTAGACTCAGAATTACAAGATCATCGTTGTTACAAAAGAATTCCTTTATTTTGAACTAAATTCCCATCAGATTATATATGCCTGTATATTCAAACACATTGGTTAGGATATTTAATCAAGAACAAATTGCCCCATTGGGAGGAAAAATGGGGAAGAATAATTGCATGGATGCAGAGATAACACTTACATCACTGATTAATTTGTTTAAGTTCCCTGAATTTTTTAAATTTTTTTTTCTCCTTTGCACTTAGAAAATGAAAATTGAATTAGATCAAGTTAAACAGCAGTTAATGGTAAGTAAACACCAAATATCCACACACTCCCATTAGAGAAAATAAATAGCTATTTTCATAATCTTAATTTGTTTTAAAGACTGAAACAGGAAAAATCCGAGCTGACAGCAAGCTAGACATAAACCTGGAGAGGAGCAGGGTGACAGATATGGTAAGTGGTCTGTGAAGATGCCCTTATTAGCTCTGTGTTGTGTTTCTGTTGCTAGAGTTGTGATTTATCTTTTATCCACAGTTTACAGATCAGGAGAGGAAACTGATGGAAGCAACTACGGAGTTTCATAAAAAAGTAAGTATTGAGCAAAGCAGAATATAGTTATGCATTGCATATTATGTAAACCCCAAACTTTGGTGAAAGCTAATACATTTTGGGTATGGTAAAGCAAAAGGCCAGGCTCTATCACATAGGGCTGTTGTGTTTCTTGCCTGTGGGATTCACGCTGAACTCCAGTCAGCAGAGGGAGGTGCTCCAGCCTTGTCCCTCACTTCCCAAGTACCTTGTCACAGGCTGGCACAGGTGAGATGTGAGCTATCATGCTGGCCTTTTCCCATTGTTAACTGATGAGCTCTGCCACAGGGATGGTGCAGGTGCCTACAGCCAAGCAATTTGAGAGCTGGAAGTCCTCAAAGCTGCTGGAGGACAGCAAAGTCTAAGAGGCTGAAGAGGGACAATGTCCCATCTTAAGCATATCTTCCATTTTTGCAATATGTCTTGTGAATGCTTAAACCTTTGTTTTTCAAAAATGCAGGAATACTGTTCTGTGTGTTGTAGATTATCTATTTTAGGAGCCACTGGCACATCAGAGACAAAGTCTGTGTCTTGAGGGTGGTGAGACACTGGCACAGGTTGCCCAGAGAGGTTGTGGACTCCCCATCCATGGCAGTGTTCAAGGCCAGACTGGAAGGGGCTCTGACAAACCTAGTTAGGTCTAATGAAAGGTGTCCCTGCCCATGGCAGGGGGCTGGTCTTAAGGTCCCTTCCAACCCAGGCCAGTCTGTGATTCTATGATCATTGGAGTTTTCTTTTTTTCTGTCTCTATCCCTTCAGCAATCTTCCTGGATTGTATAAAGCAATGTTCTCTGTCTTCTAATGTCTCTTAGCAGAGATAGGTTGGAAATTGCTTCTTGTTTCTGATACCATAGTATTTTAGTTGAGCTTTGGAAAGTTGAAGGGGTTAGAGACCATTGTCAAATATATGCTTTTAATATTTCAGGATGCACATACCAACGGCATTATCTCAGAAATCAGTAATAAAATTGACACTGAAATAGCTTCCTTAAAAACGCTCATGGAATCGAATAAACTTGATACCATTCGCTATTTGGCAGGTATGTGATAGGCAAGGAGGTGAGTACTGGTACTGGATTGTGGATGTATAAAATTCTTTGCAGGAGTATATGCTAAAAGGGACAGCATGTCTGTAGCATCAGACAGCCTGGATTGGGTGGAGGAGATTTCCCTCCCCCCTCTAGCTGGAAGAAATGTGATAGAGAACACAGAAGAGGTGGGAGCATGCCACAGTAGGACTAGGATTGTGCCCAGAACTGGGATTAGGACAAATACGGACACAGTTTTATAAAAATTGAAAGCCTAAATACCTTATCCAGTTTGACAGTACTTCTGCTTGCTGCAGCAGCCATTGATTGATGTGATGGAGTTGCTACAGATGTTTTGCTGGGGTCCTTTACATTAGCCTGAAAGTTTGCTATCATTCAGGACTGGTCTGAGGGTGACCAGTTCAGCCTCCGATTGAGTCTCCACACACAATTTCAGTATGGCAGCGCTTGTACTTTCCCCTGCCAAGCAGAACAAATTTCAGTCTGATTTGAGATTAGTCTTCTCAATATATACGTAACCAGTGAAGGTTTTATTGTGTAGCAGCTGGATAAAAAGAGAGTAATGCATTATATTTGGAAGTGAGAATAAGTTCAAAAGAAAATGTGATTAGTTTTATTCTAACACTAATTGAAACAGCAATGTAACAAATCCAAAGGACAGTTTGTCAGGCTTCAGGAGTGCTGCTGTGTTTGACAGCTTGTTTTCAAATTTGTTCCATTCATTTTGGTTCCATGGGAAACCTGTGCTGTCTAATGTGAGCCCTGGTGCAGCCAGCTCTCCTGTAGTGCAGTTTCCAGTAGCTGGGTGACAGTAGTAAAAGCCCCTGTAGCCTGTGTTGCTCTGAGGCTTCCAGCATAGTTGTTGGGATGTGTCCCTGAAAACACAGCTCTTCAGGCTGCTGTGCAGGACCTCCCCTCTCAGCACTGCGGCTGTGCTGCTGTGCAGGCTCCGGCATCTGAGACAGCCATTGGCTTCTGGAATTGTTCTGTCGCACCTGCAGCAATCCGGGAGGTTTAGGAGGCTCTGCGCTAGAGTTGGTACATTCTTCCATCTGTTTGCAGCTAATTTCCTGTATGGATAATGTGGTAAAACAGCATTCAGCTAATTATTTCCTTTCTTTGTTGGTTTTTTAACAGCTTCGGTGTTCACTTGCTTAGCAATAGCACTGGGATTTTACAGATTCTGGAAATAGATCTACGTGGAATGACTGCACTAAATACAGCCAGAAAAGGCCACCCAGGCAACACCACTTTGACAAACACATCTGTGCTGTAGATAACCTTGACACCTTTTTGTTTTGATATTCTTCCCATATAATAAAAATGTTTTCTGAATATGTAACACTGAAGACCAAAATAATTGGGGGGAAGTAGCCAAATAGGAATATTTCATTGCTTCCTATTCAATACTGTATTTATTTTGAAGTATTTCTTATGCTATACGAAAAGTTTCCTGATATCTTTTAGAATTAAATTTGTTTTCTTTCTGGAAAATTCTCACTCTCAGCTCCTTTCAAAATGGAAATACTAAATATTTTATATACCCTTGTAATGGGAATACAAGTCCCAAATTAGAGTTCCCAGTATGGGGATGCTGATACCAGACTTCAACAACCTAATCTGATCCAAGTAAATTAATCTTGAACATAGCTTCAGGATTTTGCCTTCAGTTTGTTCCTCACTTTTTTGATTAATTGAAGCTTGGCCCTTTGTTTTTTTTTAGCTACATGTGTAAAAACACACTCCTGGACCTTAACTAAAGAACCTTTTTTTTTTTTTTTCCCTTTCCTTGAAAACATGAAAAATCTCATTTTGAAAACATCAAAACCTCATGTACAAAATGTCTCTATAGAATTATTTTCTTTAGTATCTCCTGTAATTTCTCTAAGCCCAGAGGTCAAAAGAATGGGAGAACTTCTCTGTCTTTGCCTTTCCAAGGGGAAATGCTTCCACTACCTGTACCTGACCTGTAGCTGTGTACAGCCCTGGGACAGATAAGTGCTCTTAACTTCCCCCTCAAGTAGTGCAGAGTATTTCTAAGAACCTGTACATATTTTCTGGGCATAATATCTGGCTTTTAATATAGAAATACTCAGAATCTCAGTGGTGCCAGGGTGGTGGTGGTGCTGATCCTCCTCCCCACTCCTCCAGACTCTTCTGTAATCCTGTGGGACACACTGACCCTCCTGACCACTGCCTTCTGCAGGGACTTGACAACTCTTGTTGCAGAGTTGCAACACAGGTGGATGCCTTCCAAAACTGAAGCAGTTCCATCTTGTTGAGTACAAATGCATATGCTTGGTTTGATTCTTACAGTAAAATAATATTTTTTTTTTTGAAGTTTTATGGATTAACTTTGAAGTAAGAATAGGCCTTTTATGGGCTAAGGCCTATGTAGTACTGACTAGTGGCAATTATTTTTATTGCTGTTTTCTTCTGTTTACAGTTGAACTTGCTGGTATTCTGCCTGTTCTTATATACTCTGCATTAAGTTATTTATCATCTTCATTCAAGAAAATAAAATTAATTTCTTGTATTTGCTGTCTGGACATCTGAGAGTTTCTGCATGAAAGTTTAGCACCAATGGTGACAGGAAATAGCTTGTCCAGCGCAGCTTCTCACAGCCATCATTTCACACACCCTGAACTAGGCTCTTGATTCAAGGCTTATGCTGTTAAGTCAGTGTCCCTCTCCTTCATGGTGCACACAAAAACATGGATTTTTATTTTTCAGTATCTTTGAAATTCTCAGATACTAAGTTTTCTTCAGTACTAAGGAGAGGACAGGTCAGGACTGACACACTAAAAGAATTACCTTTTAAGTCTCAAAATGAGGGATCCAGAGGGAAAATATGTTCACAATAGCACACAGCTGACAGAAAAACTTTTTACATGTGTAGTCATTAATTGATTGCTAGGTGTGAAGGAGAGGTCAGGGTTGCCATTTCTAACCACAAGCTGCCCCATAACTTAGTAAATACTTCAGCCCTGACTTAGACTGCTGCAGATCACCTGGCACCTCACAGTGGAGTCGCTTCCTGCTGCCTTTAGGAATGACTAAAGATGAAAAGCAAGGGGTCTGGCAGATCTGCAGCTGAGAAGTAATTCTCCTACCCACTATTCAGCTTCCGCACTGAACATGCTAGGAGGTAATGTGCACTTTCTCCACCCTAAGGTAGCAGTACAAAATAGACCAGCAGATGGAGATACTTTCCTCTAGAACTGTGAAGGCCTGTGATTTTTCTCTTGTTAGGCCAGAAAACTAAAAACATAGTTCAGTGAAAGGCAGAGACAGACCCACAGCTCATCTGTAGAGCTGGGCTGTGCAAACACTTCACGTTATCTGAAATACTGCTTTTATACCTCCACAGTCTGCTGCCCCTCCTTTGAGGTTCGTTCCTCAGCGAAGTCTTGCTCCTCCTGGGCTGCAGGCTGGCTGCTTCTTTATTTTCTTCTTGTCTTTGCAAGACTTGGCCATTGTCTCAGCTTTCTGAAACAAAGAATACTGCAGCCATTAAACAGCAACCACTGAAAGAATGTAAAAATCTACATCTGGGAGTAACCATGGAATACTGTGTTCAGACTGAAGCTGAGAGCACAGTCCCAGGGCATGGGTTTCCTTGGCTATAGCAGTCACTCAGCCACAAAAGCAGCTTGGTTAGAAGGGGAAAATTACCAAAAAAAAAAAAACTTCCTAATGAAAAATACTGACAAAGAAAATGTTTGCCAGCCTGGCAATCACAAGGCTGAGAATCAGAAACATCCTTGAAGAAGTGCAGTTGGCCTCTCTGAAATACAGCTGTGGCACCTAGCATTCAGAGCCTGAGATTCCACCAACAAGCACAAAAACAAGGGACTGCAGAGGCAATTGACTGAAAACGTGAAAAATAGTCTGGGAAATAAAAAACACTCTGAAAGAATAGAAGCACCATCATCTATTGTCTGTACAGGTGAAAAGTAAAAAATTAGAAACATCATCAGCTAGTGGCTGCTTGCAGTGTTTGTGTCCTCATCCTTCTTATGTCCCTATCATATAAAAAGAGCTTAATTTTTAATTCAAAATAGAGCCTCTGTCTGAGAACTTCTAGTGCTGCATGTACCGTTCCTTTCCCAAACAAACTGAATTCTCTCCATGAATTTTCTATGAGATCTTGGGTTCTCATTCAGTATGCCTGACTGACTCCAGACACTGTGACATGGATCAAGTCCCTGTTATTGAATTGTCCCCCTCTGGGACAATTGGTAGTGATCTCTACACCCCTGCAGGCTGGGTAGTTCCATAGGTGGTGCCACCTCTCCTGAAGCACCATTCGAGTCTCAGACACCATGTGCCAGCCAAGGGGAGCTGCCAGTCACTGGCTATGCAGTATGCAAGTACTCGGGATCACTCCGCTCCTGCGGTGAACATTAAGATGAAGAATAGCGGTGTTCTCTGCCAGGCTACAGAAAGAAACTGATAGCCTTTCACAGCAGAGACACTGTCAAGGACAGACAAGGGCTCCTGCTCCCTTCAGTGCCCCTGGCTGAAAGCTGTAGCACATTTTCTCTAGTATTTCCTAGCACTGTGCCCTCTAATAGAGGGAATACACACAAGCAACAGGCAGTGGCTCTGTGCCACGGCCAGGGGAGCTGGTGCTGCGCTCACCGCGGAGGCAGCAGAGGCGGTGCGGGTGTCCCCCCGACCCTCTCGGAGCCGGTTTATCTCAGCACGATAATCGTCCAGCTGGCTCTCCAGCTTCTCCCGCCTGACTCGCTCATATTCCAGCTGGGCCTCCAGCTCCCTCACAGCCCTGCCAAAAGCAAAGGAGACAAGCAGAGCATGAAGTACATCCAAACCTGCCCCGGCTCCTCCACGCGGTGCTGTGCCTCTGCCAGGGGACAGGTCAGTCACGCAGAAAGCAGCGCAGCACGCTCACGCCAGCTGTGCTCAGGCTCCGGACGCCTGGTGACAGCGCAGAGCAGCAGCTCTCCCTGCTCGGCTGCCAGCGGTGCTCGGCGCGATGGGACCACGAGATGGAGCCGTCTGCCCGCACACCGAGCCCGGGCCGCTCCTCTGACCAGCCCCCGCTCCAGCTGCGGGGGAGGGAGAAGCGCCCGGGCCCCAACGAAGTTGTTACGAAACAGAGAAAAAGCACAAAGCCAGCAGCATTCTGGAAAGGTCGGGGGCAGATTTCTCATTCACATCTGGTGCTTCTACATCCTTCCTATTGATTGGCTTAGGCACGGATGAGGAACACTCAGATGGCAGCTTGCATGACTGGCCTGTATACAGTTGCACAAGATCTCACTGGTCACACCCTCAACGGCTCCTAAGTTATTTGAGATTCCTGGAACTGTTTAACTGACACATAAACAGAATTTGGAGTTCAGCTGGCTCTTTCCTGTACCAGGATAAATTACCACAGCTACAAAGATGGAAGATCAGTAAAAGTAAACGAGAGATATCTGCCCTGTGCATCCAAACAGCACAGCAGGAAAGCTCTCAGCAACATCTACCGTGTTTCCCTGTTTCCCAGAGTGAAGAACTCCTGACTCAAACCCTTTGAGCCACCAATCAACCTTACTGACACTGCAAGAATGGTCTCTGCACAGTGCTCAGGGGACAGCTGACTTCTTCCATGCTTCCAATTAAAGATTCCACAACTCCCAAACTGTGTGGCACACTCATGGTGACAATTTCCTGCAATGAACCCTGGTTAAAGCACTGTGAAGTGGCCAGGCCTCTTACAGCCAAAAAAATCTGGACTAAAGCAGAAATATTCAAAATCTGTTACAGTGGCCATTCCAAGTGACAACTCCTGCTTTTCATCTAGCAAAATGGCGTTGTCATAAGTACTTTGTCAATAATGAGGTTTTCTGGCCTATGATACAAGCATCTTGGGGTTTATCCACAGATAGGTACCCTGAGCAGGGTAGATAGGTATGCTGAGAAGCCCCCCATTTCCTTTTCAAAATGATAGTTTGGGGCTAGGGATGCTTTCTAGCCTTCACAGGTGGGAGAGAGAGCCTCACAATTTTTCTAGTTTAGCCATACATGCCACAGAAAGCAACATCCCTTAAAGAGCCCCACCAGAGCCTTCTAATAGACACTGCTAGCTTTTGAGCAGCTGCTCTATCCAAAATGAACTTTCATGTCTGTCATTAGTCAACAGTGACTTTTCCATCATTTAAACCAGATTGCTCTGACCTTTCAATGTAGGCATCAACACCTGAGCTGGTCACCTTCCTCCTTTGAAACCAAGAGAGACACTTCTAGAAGTGATGAAGCTCATCCTGAAGTACTTATCTAATTATGCCCTGGAAGTGCCTACAACCTCTCCAAGATGTTGAAAAAGGAGCTCACAACTACTAACTCAGGTGCAGGTAGGAATGTTACCTATGGATTATGTATCAAGTTAAGGAAGTGGGACTTTCAGCATAAGCCAAGTCAAAGGGTGACCTGAAACCAAAAGAACTCCTGGCTCAGATATGGCTGTAAAACAAACACCACTGCAATCCATGACACTTGTTACCTGCTCCAAATCCACACAGACTGCTAAGTCTGCTGCCTTCTTGATGGCGTACATCTTGATGGCTCAGGACAGTCTCTCTCACTGACCAATCAATTCAGTGGTTTGAATTGGCCCAAACACATTATGGAAGTGGTTATCTACAGAGACTGAGAACAGAGGGTAGCCAAATGTTTGACGGGAAGAGGTAGAGACAGGCTTGTCTTTGGAGGCTGAAGTATTGTTAATTCTCTAAATTTTTGATAGACTTTTCTTTGAAATGTAGACAATCTGTCCATGAAATCACCTGACCAGTCTAGCAGAACCATTTGATTTAATGGGGACACTGAGAATTAGATATCATGAACAATGCTTCACATGCAAGGGCAGGTTTGCTGATATGTTTTTCTCTGTGGTCTGGAAACAAGCTAATGCTTGTTTTATATTGCCAATATATTGCAATATATTGCCAATGAACAGAAATGTTAGCAGGTCACTGAATAATTTCTGCTGTATATGCACTTCCATCCAAACCATGCCGAGACTATTGCTTATTTTCAGATTTCCTGAAGGGCATACAAGTCTTTGGCATCCTCAGTGGAAACAAAACAGCCAGAACCTATAAGACCTACTGCACACATCTGCAGAAAAACCTGAAGACCAAACAGATGGTCTTGCACAAGAATCATGGACCTATCAAGCACTTGTGTTGTGGGGCTGATCATGGTGGTAGAAGTTTAGAAATGGCCAGACAAATTGCTGCAATTCATTTATTTTGCCCTGGTTGAAGTTGGTAAGTGGAACAGAAGAATGGCCAAAGCAAATTTGAGGAAAATCAGCTTTAGAGGAGGATTTAAAATGGGCCCCTCAGAGTTAACCATTAGCAGAGCAGAATGAACTTACTTCTCAACTTTCCTTTCTTCTGTTTTCATCTTTCTCTCCTCTTCAGTTATTCCCCCCAGCTGTCTGTAGTTGCTGTAGGCAATTTCTAGAAGTCGCTGAAGTTCTTTAATCTTGTTATAGGCCCTTACTGTAAGAAACAGTCACAGGTAGGTCAAAGGCAAGGAGAAGACAGTCATGCTGGAATCCAACAGTCTGGAAAATAGTCTCACAATCACAAGAGCAGAAATCACACTGCTCAGCAAACACTGAGCTACACCTGACACCCACACAGCAAGCAGATGTCAAAAACAATTAGCAATCCAACACTGTTGCTCCAATATAGATTTAAATGGTGTAACAATTATCATCTGATTGCCTTCTGCTTGCTTTCTAAACAATTTGTTTCAATGCTTAGTATTACAGATATCCTGACAACCATCTCATCTTACAACTAAAAAATCAGAGCAGTTGGCAGGAACTGTCATAGTTAGGGCTATAATATTAGTCTTGATAACTTTTGCAAACAAGAAATGATGGAAATACAGTGCTTACTGCGTGCATTCCTTTTCTCTGCTTTATCCAGGGTTAAATCTTCTTTGCTATCTGTACTCCCTTCCACACCATGTGTTTCAAAAAACTTTATGTTGTTTGCATCTAGTTCTTCATCGCTAGAGTTATTGTTTGCAGTTCTTGGTGCCAAAAGTTCCACAGCTGCCAGATGGCCAAATCTACACAGAGAACAGTTAAAATCTGGAAAAACATGTGTGGTAGAAACTCTCTGAAACTGTCCACGTTCCCATTTATCAGAGGAGTTTCAGGACTAAAGGAAGCACTATATACACACTACAACTATTTATCTACTTTTTGTAGTATTCTTATGGCATGAGCTCTGCCTTGATGGAATCTTATGGCAATGGCTCCTACATTAGAGGCATCTTTTTCCTTTGCAGGATTTCTTAATTGAATCTCATCATAATCTGCATTATTTTTACTAATGCAAAAATCAGCTGGCCTCTGCTACTTCTCATTAACTCTGTACAGCAAACAATGAGCATACGGGCTCACAACTGTCCTCTTGAAAATGACCTAGTTTTCCTCTTTTGTGTCTGACCTCACTGAAAAGAAAATTAAATTAAGTGAAAATTAAAACCTTTTATAGCTACAATATTATAGCTACAATACAGCCTTGCTTATCAATCAGAGCTGGAATTCATGGGCCTGCTCTGTTCTTTCTCCATCACTGAAAATCAGGATTAATGCCAACAAAGCTGACATGATTTTGATACACAAATAGCATGTAAATAAGTGTCAGAGCTACAGGATATGTACTGCTACCTCTTGGCTACATCCTTTGGAGTCTCTCCAGCATCATTTGTAATGTCACAGTCAGCTTCCATTTCAACCAACCACTGTAAGCAATGGATATGTCCCTGTTCAGCAGCTAAGGGAAGGAAGGTGCACACAAGTCAGTTATACACAACTGAAGTGTTTCAAACCTCAGATGTCCTCCTCTTGCCATTGTTTGACATGTCAAAGGTTGGGTTCACTAAGACACCACAAGGGAGATACTATTTCAAGAGGAGCCTGTGTGTCAAGATGCTGACATCACTTGGGTACACAGAGTTTCGGGGAAGAGCATGCCGTGTGGTTTGGTGACTCTTTCTAGTTCTCAAAATGTATTGGAAGATCTTGCTGGACAAGCTAAACTAAACTTTCCCAGTCTCAGGTACGAAGCACAAGACACACAAATAACTGCTGCCCTAGTAAGAGAGGCCTGTATATCACAGTTTGGCAGCCAAGCGCTGCCACCTCCCTGGCTTTGGGCTCCCAGGTTCAGACACAGCTGGCTGCCCTAGTCTGTGGTGTGTGCTGCTGTCTCAGAAAAGAAACGCTTTGTGCTGGAGCTAAAGCTACAGCATTTCTTGGGGCAGACACTCAAGGCAGCACCTCTCAGCAGCATCCTAACAACCTTACTCATACGATGTGCCATGGCAACTGCTCCCACCATGTGGTGCCAAGAACAATGTCTCACTTAAAGAAGATAGTATTTGGCAAGTCTAGATGAAACTGTACACTGATTTTCTCAAGTAAGAATAAATCCATTTCTTGACAGCACTTCCTTTTGGTTATTTTTTATATTTGTTTTCTTACTGAGATAAGAAAATGAAATTACAACATCAGTATGTAAACACTGGGGATGAAACGACTGTAGGTCAGCATCATTCCAAGAAAAGAAAGTGGGATTTTAAAATCACTACGTATCAGTTATTTTAATAAGAATTTCAATTGTGTTTTTAAAAATTCTACTATATAGTAAAAAATAAATGTAGGAAATGTGTTAAAAGCATATTACAGAAATGCTTCCCTCTTTCTTACATCTTTTATTTCTTCTTTCAGACAATACTGTGAAACCCCTAAACACAAAAGGACTATTTTTTCTGTAATACAAGCAGTCCACTCCATGTCAAAGTGTCAACCAGAAGTTTACCTTTCTTCACAGCATCCTACCAAATGACTTTGTTGTGGTTTTTACATCATATCCCCACAGTACTGATGTAAATAAAGGCCCAGGCCGCAATACAGATGATTCTTATACTTAGCCAGCCAGATGTTTCTAAAAGCCACATCTTGCCTGATTTAAAAAAAACCAAAAACTTCAAAACTATTTAGTTACATTAAATTAAGTGATCATTAAAAGCTTTTATAGTTAGGATACAGCCTTGTTTATCACTCAAAGCTGGAATTCATGTGCTTGATCCATTCTTTCTCCATCACTGAAAAGCAAGATTAATTCCAACAAAGCTGATATTGATATACAACTAGTAAGTAAATAAATGTCAGTGCTACTTAGTTTTCAGTTTAGATGCTGATTTCTCTTTATTATAAGCTCTTTTTTTCTTGACTTGAGCTTGGTTAAATTGTTTTCAGAGTGGCCCATGCACACATACATTAAAAAATAAGGAGTTTAGGGTTGCCTTTCCAAGCCCTCAAGAAATGAGATGCTGGTTTTCATTACCTGATTAGCAGCCACTTGAAAAACTAAGTAAATAAATCAGCAACAAGGAGTAACAAGCTGAAACACAGATCATATTTACTGACCTTTGTGCAGGAGAGTGGATCCCTTATCGTCCCGCTCATTAATATTGATTACTCCACTTCTCACTAGTCTTCTAACCACTAGCAAGTCCCCTTTGAAAGCAGCATCATGAGCTGGGAAAGCTAAAACTGAAAATGAAATGCACATTTCCAAGCAGATGCCAGCAGTTCTACTGAACATGTCTCACAGCTCACCTCTCTCACAGCAACTTTTTTATCGACACTTCAGAGGTAGCAAGGATAAATGCTCCTTAATCAGCTAAAATGCAGCAGTGTAACCAGCAGTGCTCACCAGACACTTGACTAAACATGTCCTGGTTATGGCTACAGGTATCTCATACAGTTAAGAGATTAATTTCACAGACCCAAAATAACAATAAGTATGCCTTTGTGTACTTCTAAAGAATTACACATAATGCCTTTTTCAAGTGTATCTAGATCGATACTCACCTTCCTGCATCTCTGGATGTTCCTCCTCTTTTTCCACACCATCAATATATTGCAGAATATTATCTTTATAAAACCGTTCAGCCAAGTCTCTTGGAGTCTCTCCATGGTCATTCCTGGCTTTCAGAGTCTGCATAACACTGGACATCTTCCCGACCAAGAACTTAAAGCAATGCAAGTGTCCTTCCACTGCTGCCAGATGTGCTACAGCACAAATAAAACAAAGGGTGTTAGAGCGGAGCCCTGCTGCCCACTAAGAAAGCAATGCTATCACCACTGGTTAGAGCTGGCTCCTCTACCAGCACATGACCCATCCAACACTGCACAAAGGGAAGAGCAGTCTCAGCTGAACTGCAGATGTTCAGTTCCCACCTGGGACAGAGTTCAGCTCTAGGCAAAGGAAATTAAGCTGCCAAGGATGGAATCTGCAGAGGTGATTCCCTGGCAGAGCTGACTGCAGTAGACTGTAAAACAGACTCCCAGCAGAGCACCGAGGCCTAGCTTGGAGAGTGCACTGTTGGGGCCTCACCTCCCCCAGGAACACAGATCTCTGCCTTCAGCAGCTGCTGTTCCAGGGATACTCCTTACAGGGGGACAGCAAGCAATGTCCTTGATTAGGAGCCAAGGCCATTTCTGCTTTAGGCTCTACTGTGCCACCACAAACAAGTTGCATCACACTCTTGGTTACCCCACCTATAAAATGAGGACAGTGATAGGTGCTTTACTGGACAAAATATTTGAAGGTACATTCCTCACCTGACCTTTAGGCTATGCAGAAGTTTACTTATTTAATATTACTACAGTGCTGGGCCTACAACAAAATAAGAAGTACCAAACACATGCTGACTATCTTGACATAAGTAATATCCTCTAGTCCCATTAATGAGAAGAACTTGCCAAATAAATGCTAATTATGTTCTATCGCTCCATGAAAATGCTCTGTAACAGCTGGCTGATATTCTAGAGGCAAAAGGATTTGTTTGTCTTCAGGAAAGAATCTCACTGTCTTCATAACCAACAAACAATGTACCCAGGACCCAAAAAACCCATCTCACTCCATTTTTGGCACATGCAAGTTCTCTATAGCAAACCAAACCATCCACAGCTTTCCAGAGCATAATTGCTCTAAAAGGTTGTGGATATTGGTTTTATAGCATGATGAGGATACATCTGTACAGATAATCGTTTAAAATCTGGGCTTCACTGAAATAAGGGCAGTTTTTGCCACTGTCTGAATTTTAGTTAGTGAGTTAGTTCTCAGGAAGAAGGGAAAAGAAGGGTACCATGCTAAAGGTAAGTCAGCTAGTGAAAAAATGACTCAACCCTTATGAATCCATTTTCAGATACCTAAAATCTTCTGGCATCCCAACTTCTCTCTGTTTTACCTTGTCTTTTATTAAATCAGACTAACAATATTCACTCTTCTCAAAGCTACAAGTCAAAAAATTGTGTCTGTGAAAGATTTTTACAATAGGTTTGACTAGTGAGCAATAAAAGAAGCATGGATGTGGCCCAAAAAATGAATACAGAGAGAAAGCAAATTGAAATGTTCTGTTAATAAGCACAGCCCATTCTCCACATTGAATGAGCCACAGAATTTTTTTCTTCCAAAAGATTACCAAGCAAATTAGCAAAGCTAATGAGACCCTTTGCTGTAACACACATATGCAAAAGATACAGCCAGTTTTTAAGTTTCAGGTGCCTGGCACTGCAACCTCAAAAAATTTCTTCCAGTATTCTTTTAGGAAAAATTACAGCACAGTTCAGCTAATCTTGAAGCTGAAATGTGTTATGATAAATTAAGTTCACTTCTCCTACACAAGCAGACAACAAGCTGGTTTGCACAGTACTACTACTGATCTGTTACTAGCCATGTTCCAAAATATTCTCTTTCCTTTGGAAGATAATATGATCAAATGAAACAGAACAATGGTTAGAAGATCAAGCTTCTGTAGATTACAAAATACAACAAAAGCAGTTTTCTACTAATCATTTTACACAGAGCATTTAAGTAGAACTGTGCTGGCATCTGCTTTCTCTCCACAGAAGTCTTCTATCAGGGAAGTGTTCCCAAATGGAAATAAAGCTGCCTTGTATGCTGCCCCCAGGGTGCCTAACATCGTGACCCCTGATTGCTAATGCACCAGATTTCCTGCTGGGATGCAGGAGCCTCAAATCCTATAACAAGACCCGGGTTTCCAAAACAGAGCATGGCTAGCTGTTTCCTAAGTAAATAGTACTTAGTAGAAGGTAAAAGACTTTAAGAAGTGATTTATGAAGATAGCTCTGTACAAGTTATAGAGAAAAACATATGCTCTTTGGAAAAAATAATGTGACAAACCATAACAAGTAAAATGTTAAAAGGGAAAGGATGCAAGGAGAATCCAAGACAGGAACAATACCATTGAGCTTACAGAGGATATTGAGGCAGTGCTATGGTAGGGAGAGGAACACTGGAGAAAATACAAAAAGTAAGGCAAAATCACTGGCCAATTTTTATGCTAAAATGAATACATTGATAATTATGAAAAGAAATTACAGATAATCCTGAAAAAGCAGTATTCCAGAAATCAAGATGAAGAAATCTCAGGAAAATGAAAGCAACTGTTTTACAAAATCAGTTAAGAAAGTGGGATATCAAAACTTGCATGCAAACACACCAGGACTTCATTACACTGGCACCAATTCAAAAAGTAGCACATAGCAGCTGAAACTACCTCCCCCTCCACCTGTCTTTCTCCTGTGACCTCCACTGGCACACCAGCTCCATCACACACACAGGAGATGCTGCTCACCTGCTCCAGTCAGGCTCAGCCTGCTCCCCATACCAGCATTTTCAAGCTCTTATCCTTGCTAACAGCAGCAGTGAATGGGATACTGTCACCAACAGAGCAACGCTTTGGATTTTATGAATCCTCCCATCATTAGAAAAATGGGCAATCTATGTGGATTGCATGGAATCAAATAGCAAACGGTGCTGCTGTGCATTAGTTATAATTCACTCAATTATCACAGTTCACAACAACTGTAAACCAAAGGTTTAAAAACATATGATTTATCCTGATATACCTGGAAGGTTTCCATTGTTATCTGCATCATCTACACATGCTCCCCATCGAACAAGAAGCTGCAAACACCCCAAGCGACCGTGAAAAGCAGCATAATGAACAGGTTTCCAGTCATTCCCATCAGAAACATTTACCTCCTAAAATGAAAGCAGGTTAATTCATTCTCTTCTGAATCTTAGACACAAGACAAATTTTATATGGGAATCAGCTGTTCATTGTGTTAAATTATTTAAATCAAATCAAATAACATTTTTCAAAGTTCATACATTAGATGCAGTTCCAGTTTCAAGACAGGTACTTTTCACAGGATCTTGCTTTTACTTAATGCACTTAGACATTTTTAGACCTATTTTTATCATCACAATGACCTGAATTGGTCATTACTCCTTAAATATGCATCTGGACTAATTTTCTTTCTTTTATGTCTCCTTTACTAAAGAAAATTTTTAGAACTGCAAAAATTAACATCACCCCAGTACCCGATGTTCATTTAATGACGTCTTCAGTGGAAGGTGATTAACTCACATTATTGATCCTCTACAAATTTTGATTCTTTCCCTGAATGTATGTCACAATCTAAGAAAATGGAAATTTACCCACTAAATGAATTGCCCCACAGTAATTAGTCTACAGCCCTAAATCTCAGTTTAATTGAGGGAGAGTTTTGTTTGGGAAAAGCTGCTGGGCTGTGGCTGTGCAGCAGGACTACAGGCAGGAGTCTCACCGCCCCGGTGCGCAGCAGGGTCTGCAGGGTGTACGAGTGCCCGTGGGCTGCAGCCAGGTGCGAGGCCGTGCACCCGCGCTCGTCCCGAGCTGCTGCGTCTGCCCCGTTCAGTAACAGGGCCTGAAAGAAAGGCAAAGCACAAGTTCATTTCACAAGCTGAAAAAGCAAACATTTCCTAGAAGGATGGTTTCTGATGACCAACAGGATAACTCTAGGCTGACCTCAGGGGCCTGGTATTGCACAAAGTAGCTCTGTTTGCACAGACAGCACAAATGAGTGCTCTGGTTTGAAAATTATTAACTTAATTTGGCATGTCAAGACATAAAGATGAGCTACTCATAGTTCCCTAAGGGGCTCCCTCAGCTGATATTCATAATGAATTTGTCCAGTATTAAGGTCTGCCCTACTAACTTTTGCTTGAGAGTGAGTATTTACAGTACCTGCATGCAGGCATCCTGCCCTCGGATGGCTGCCAGGTGAGCCGCTGTCCAGCCTCTCACAGTCACACATGTGGTGTCAGCTCCATGCCACAGCAACCACTGAAGGCACTGCTCAACAAACAAAAGGGCTTTTTATTTAACTAGGCACGTTGTGTCTCTGAGGCACATTTCAACTAGAATTTATCCATCAAAGGTACACTTCAAACCAGTGTTGGAATACTTTCTTATGGAAATAACGAGACCCCAGAGCATGCCTTAAACAGGTATTTGTGCATGAGAAAGTTATGAGTAAGTTATACTTTCCAGGTTTCACCCAAGGGTATAAAATGTGCAAATAACATACTGATTCAGATCCTAGCATCGATGTTACAGTATGACTTTTTTATTTTACCCTTCTGGATTTAAAATGTAATGTGTGAGAGTGTTCACATGGCAGGAGGCAAAAGCATTGGGAAAAAATCGTAAACATGCTCACATGAATTCCAGCTAAAATTACTAGCAGGAAAAATATCATGTACTATATTTAAAGCCTCATTTAATTTATTAGGCTTCTTAGGCATATGTAATCCCATCTCTCTTCTCATCCTTCCATGGCTCAGTTTTGTTTTATTTACTTTTTTTTTAGATATCACTGCTTGCAATGGAAAGCTTTATGAACTATCCAAAGACAGCTAGAGGAACAGTTAGAACTTTTTATTACATATTATTAAGATTTATTATCTTCTTTCAGGCAATCTTACAGCTCTGCTTCCTCCACTATTTCTGCCAAGGAGCTTAGTGACAAACAGATGACAGATCATTCAATAAAGTCTAACAGACTGATTGCAAAGTAGGCGAGTCAAATGAAAAATGGCAGAATTTATAGAGACAAAAAGAGTGGGTAAGCAATCTGGTTTTGGGGCTGATGTGACGATTAGCATTTTCTTGACAGTGTCTCTAAATTCCAGAAGCAGCACTGCACTTAGCAATTCTTGAGTTTAACAAGAACTTAACGTTTTTTTCTTTTGGGATGTGAATGGCCTTGCTGCTTCAAGGTTAGAATGCCATGAACAATGAACAAGGAGGCTGCAAGAAGAAAGTGAATGTTGTGCTAAGCACAGCAGTTCAGTCCTTCTGGAAGTTTAAAATATTGATACAATCACCTGCTGATTTCTGTACCATTATTCAACATTTTCATTTATTAAAATAAAATGTATTAGGACTACTTCTATGGAGAATGAGGCATGGGATATTGGTAAGCAAAATGAACACATTTTCATGTCGTTTCTCATCTGTTTCAGTCACCTTCAGAACATTTTACACGTCCTGTAGGATTTTCCAGATGTCTCAAGAGAAGAAGAAAATGCAATAGAGACAAAAGAAGGTCGTGAGTCTGAAAGGTCATATGGCACATTTTGCTCAGAGTAAGAAAATCAATGATTTTGTAAAATATGGCAAAGTTGATTAGGTAAATTGCCTGGGGCTTCAGAAAGAAAAAATATCTAAAATCCTGTACTCCTGCTCATGAGAAAAGCAGGCAGAGATTATTGATTCAGTCTGATCAAAGCAATGTTGTGTTCAGCCTCTCCCAAAGAAGGAAATATGGACTTTAAAAAGCCCAGCTATGCCTATACACTAAGGTAATATTTTACCTCCAGACTTCCCACGTGAGCAGCACACTGCAATGGTGTGAATTTGTGAACTACATCCACCTCATTAATATTGGCTCCACTTTTTATCATCAATGCAAGCTGTTCTACATCCCCAGCTTTCACTGCTTCATGCACACTAGTATAATTTTGCTTCTTCTTGACAACTAGTGAGGAGTAATAAAAGGGCATTAGTCCATTGCTTAAATCAGCAACATTTAAGAGATGGAAAATGTGTGATGAATCAAAGAAATATCACAGTTGACATTCATGGCACAGAATCAAACTCTAAACATAGAAGCAGTAGGGTAAAAGGAAAAAAAAATCTGTTACCAGGCCATGGGATCAAATAACCTGTGTCCTCCCTTCAGGGCTTTCCACTGATTAACTACATGAATGGAAACATGTCCAAACCCCTTACAACATCTTGATACTTTGACAAAACTTGTACACAGAAATATAAGAGGTAAGTAGATCGAATGGTTGAGGGGACTAACTTCAGATAGCCAAGCACGAAAAGAACTTAAAGTAATTTGTATTCACCTTCTACAGTGGTCATCATTCTGGTACACAAATGCACTAACACTCTGATTACATTTCACACTGCTGGAAGTCCTGAAGAATTGGGCTACTGTTTAGCAAGTCAAGAAAGAATAAAACTGAAGGTTTCAAGGCATTAGTGCCTCAGCTCCTCTGCCTGTGGAGAAGAAATGGTACTAGAAGTTAACGCTGTTACACAATTTGAGGTAAAAAAATATTAAAGAATACAAAACAGCTATTGTAATAACATATTTGTCATATTTGTAAAAAAAAGCACAAGATATAATTAAAAGCAGTCTCTGCAGTTTACCAGTGCCTATTTTCATGTAATCTGTAGTGCAGAGCTCAGGCAGATAGAGGGTTACACCGAGAGGAGCAGGGGGCTGTATTCCAGTACTGCAGGCTGACAGTAATACACCCAGTGTGTCCTGTAACACACTGCTGGGTCCTGTGCCTGTGTCTCATCCCACCTCCACCTCCCCAGCTCAGCAGGCTGCATGACTGCCCTGCACAAAGCCTAGTAAACCTAAAAACCAGGACTTCATCCTGCAAAACACTGTGAGGACAGCAGCACAGAAACACAGAATAATTCTGGTTGGAAGGGGCCTCAGGAGGTCGTCTAGCTCATGTTTCCAAATAATATTTCCAAAATATCTAAATATATTTTGAGGTCTGGGTTGGTTAGGTTATTTTAAAAAACAGCTTCACCAGGACATGATATTTCGCCAAGGAAGTAACTGCTCATTATACCAGATGAGGGTTAGAGACTTCGGCCCAGTTACACAACATCACAGGCAGGCCTGGCCGATGACACTACAGCAAAGTTCTAACGTGTTTAACACAATGTTTCGGTACAGCAAGTTCAAGGCAACCTGTTTTTTTTAATTTTTATTCCTTAACCCAGAGGACAAGCAAACAACAAGGGCCACCAGCAGAAATAAGTTTGTCTCCCCTCTCCGTCTGGATACCTACTGCTGCATGGAGATGAACGCCAAGGGTGGGTGGGTGCACTGGCTTCTTAGCACAAGCAGCCTGGGACCGAAGTTCAGAAACAGCTGTTAACATCAGTTCTGTAAAAAAATACACTTCAAAAAGCAGAAGGCGGGCTCCATAATTCTAGTGCTTTTTTTTTTTTTTTTTTTTTAAACAGAAAACTGTTATCAGACACTTATTCGATGTTCTGGGAGGAAACTTGGCAGAAAGAATTCAGTAAGCACTTTGAGACCGGTACCTGCCCATAAGCCAATTAAAGAGATTAAGTGAAGAAGAATATAGAAGGATATGGCTCAGAATAGAGAAAGGCACAATTTAGGTCTTGCGATGTTTCCGTAACACACAAACCCAATCCCTCGCGGCTCGGTTTTGGCAGCAGCCCCAGGGCTGCGGGAGCCCCCGGCCCTCCCCGGCCCCTCTCAGCCCGTCCCGCCGGGGCAGGGGCGGAGCTGCCAGGCCCGGGCAGGGGGAGGGCCCGGCCGACCGGTGCCAACCACCGCCTTTCCCCGCGCTTTTGGCGGATCTGGAGCCTCCGCGGTGCTGTGCGTGGATCCCGGCGGAGCTCCGTGCCACAGACCCGAGGGCTCGGGAGAGCCCGTCCCGCCCCGCGCCACAGGGCCGGGGAGTCACCGGGGAGGGGACGGGGGAAGGAGCGGGCGGTGGAGGGGCGGGCGGAGCGGTCTCACCGGCCGGAGCGGGGCACAGGCCCCTCGCAGCACCGGGGGCCGGCAGCTCGACGCTGTCGCCTGGA